AGCAGATGAATCTTTATCTGAAGTCATGCATGTCTTCAGACAAAGACAAAGTTGATGAGTTTGTAATTACAATTTTAAATTGGCTATAATCTATCCCATCACATTAAAATGGAATTTGGAGGCTACAGATTATAACAGATTTATATTCCATTCCTGCCAGTTGCTTCTTACAGTAATCTTTTTTGCATGTATACAGTTGTTTAAAAATTCAAGAAAATGCAATGTATTTTTAAAAGCCCTTGTCTACAAATCAAATTTTTATATAAAAAAAATTTTATTTGCTGTTATTTTTAACACAGTGATACAAATCAGTTCAAAACAGAATTTTAAATGCAGCTTTATAGCTAAACACAAGATTAAAATCATTTATTTTATTTGTATTTAACATCAAAAAGTTGTTAATAATTCATAAAAATTAATGTCAGGTGGCTTATAATACATCAAGATTTGTTAAAACCTATAAATTTTTACGGAAATTAAATTGAATACTATGAGATTTTATTCAATTTTACAACCACAGAATAGTATACTTTTTGTGTGTGACTAGGTTTACTTTGGGAACGTGTCACATTAATTATTTGGTCTCTGTTCATTGTGATATGATCGTGAAATTAACAAAGATTTTTCACAGATATTATCAAATGTATTAAACCAAATTGAAATAAAATAATAATTATATATATATAGTTATGGTTTAGCTTTCTTATTAGAAATACTTCAGCAGTTATAATCAAAATAATCAACACCTAATCTGTTGCCAAGGGAGTTTATTTAAAAAACGAACTCCCTCGGCAACAGATTAGGTGTTGATTATTTTGATTATTAATTTGCCGAGTATGTTTTCTGTTCAGCAGTTATACTCAAAATGTATGCAACTTCGTAGTCATTGTATAAATAAACAACAAACTACTGAACTCAAGTTTAGCATATTGCTCTTTGTAGTAGTTTTTATATATGGACAGATTAAATTTNAGGTAAATTACTGTACACAGTGTATTCATTAATTTTCATTTTCATGCAGTAAAGGCTCTATGCCTTCATAAAGGACGTACTTTTCCTTTGTTTAAGGGTATTTGGGCAGTTTATTCTCTGTTGTATTCTCAAGCAAACAATACATACAAGTACAGTACAATATTTTCTGAGGAAACACGCATACTTATCCTTTTTTAACCCCATTCCCGATAACCCGGCATTTTCACAAACTTGGCCACCCTTCGGTCCACATTAGGCCGAGTTTTCGAGGCTCTACTGTATATATATTTTGGTAATAATTATTTCAATTTATCACCGCATCATTAAATATAAATCAATTTTAGATACTCTTTAATTAAAATATATTTGGATGTACTGTATTTATTCTAATAAACAGTGTCCTTTAATAAACAGCACACTATTGAATAAATGCAGTGTGTATGTATGTATATATAATAAAATAATATATATATATATTACTTTAAATTGTATATATATTACTGTAATTTATTCTTTGGATTCAAATAGCTCAGTATTCCAAAGAATTTTGTATTTTAAATGTATTCTTAACTGTTCTATACAAAAAGAACAGTTATCAATATTCCATGATTTTTAAAAACCTGAAAATGGCCTGTAGAACAGGTTGAAAACATTCATTACAAATCTTATCAATATTCCACCTAAACAGCTAGTATTTAAGTTTAAAGATTAGCCTTAACCTTAAACATTTGAATATGAAAAAATAATATTAAGACTTACCGTTTCATTACCAAATAAAATATCAACATATGGTAGTGCCTGCATCATAGGTTCCTTAAAAAACTGACTTAAAAATGGAGCACTAAGATTCATTATAAAAGTTTTGTTATTCTTGCAAGCATGCTTTGCTACTTCCAAAATTGTTTCTGGACTTACTGTCAAAAAGAAACCCTAAAAAAATTCACAGAATTAATTTTGAAGTGGAAAACATTTTATAAAGAAGAAATCATAAAAAAAAGTCTAAAAATATTAAGAAAGCAGATTTTGAGGAGACAATATATTTACACCAACTGAAAAATAATTTTCTGTCATATGAACTATCTTATTATTATGATTATTAGACAAAATTTTTATGTTTAATTTATATCAGTACTAAATTCCAATTCCAGTTAAACTTTAACATTTTGCAAAATATTTTAATGTAAAAANTGGCAGGTGCATATATAGAAATCTTAAATGAATCTTAAAAAATTATATTTTTATTTATAATATATTCTTTCAGATTATTAAAGTCTAACTATAACTGCCTTTACTTTAATTGCTTATTTTTGTTTTCATTTGTAATCCAATGTCTTATTTTACAATTCTTTTTTTTTTTTCTTTAGAAGCAAACTATACAATCCACCCTGTGATCAAATACTTTAAATCTAGTTTCAGTTTTTGTCAGAAGTCCAGCTTTTATACACATTTCTTTACTAAAATTTTCATATGAGATCATCATGAATGTATTGTAAAAAAAATCAGCAGGAACTAAGCTATGATCCTGGTAAGTTGATTGGTAATAATGTAACTGACAATGTTGTGACAGAATTATTATTATTATTTAAAGGTTGAATGTAGGGTTGCCAACTGGAGAAAATCTCTTTGGGAACATGCTAGTAAAAATTGGGGAATTTTCAATGAAAATGCAGGACTCAAGCATATATTTACTTTGAGATTGCCTTTTAGAAAGCTTTTAATCTTTTAGAACTGTTGCATACATCTATTGAAGGATTCCTTTGCATTTAACTTAATTATCAATTCACTATTTATTAATTTTACAGAACACCTATTACAGTTTTATGTCCAAAACATGATTGTAAGAGAGAGAGAGAACTCTTTCTACAAAAGCATTAATTTTTCTGAGTATTCCAGCTACTAATTTTTATAGTCCATGTAATTTTGATTGTAGTAAACCACTGCCAAACTTAGTCAAATTTTTATAATTTTGACTATCATGGTTAGATCATTTGTTGCATTCTACTTTGCATATAAAATTAGTGTTCTCAACTTATCAGTAAATTACAGTTTATGCATGTATTTTGAGTTTTGCAATATTTATTTTGGCAATTTACAGGTCTGTTTTTGGCTGAAAACATCTGTTCTGTGATTAAAGTTATTGCTGGAAAGTATGGAAGGTGTCATTTTGATTTTTTGATTTTATAGTCAAATTTCAGGTTATTTATCAAAAAAGAATGTTTTTTGAGTTGGCTAAATTTTGTCTAGATAAGCTAAAAACATCTGGAAAGATTGACCAGCTTTCAAAAAGCTGGTCAATCTTGACACACAAGTCCAAACATCATAGCAACTGTTGATCGGTTTTATCTATCTGAGTATCGTAAGTGGGTGAGAAAAAGGAAGTGGAGTTTTTCCATTTCTACATTAATTAGTTAAACTAATATGCAGTTAATCTAATTACTAAATTGCCCCCTCCAGAATCACACTACTATCATGTGAGGAAAAGAAAATCATTAAAAATAACATTTAGCAACTATATAGGATGCCATGCATGAGTGCTAATAAATGATAGTATAAATTTGTTGTTGGGCACATACATTGGCAAGTGAAAAAAGTTTGATTTGCTTTATATTCTGTATTACTGCCATAAAACAAATATCATAATCTTTTCAATTAGAAGGTATGCCTATATGTATATTTGGTTTGATGAAAAATGATAGCAGATGAATCTTTATCTGAAGTCATGCATGTCTTCAGACAAAGACAAAGTTGATGAGTTTGTAATTACAATTTTAAATTGGCTATAATCTATCCCATCACATTAAAATGGAATTTGGAGGCTACAGATTATAACAGATTTATATTCCATTCCTGCCAGTTGCTTCTTACAGTAATCTTTTTTGCATGTATACAGTTGTTTAAAAATTCAAGAAAATGCAATGTATTTTTAAAAGCCCTTGTCTACAAATCAAATTTTTATATAAAAAAAATTTTATTTGCTGTTATTTTTAACACAGTGATACAAATCAGTTCAAAACAGAATTTTAAATGCAGCTTTATAGCTAAACACAAGATTAAAATCATTTATTTTATTTGTATTTAACATCAAAAAGTTGTTAATAATTCATAAAAATTAATGTCAGGTGGCTTATAATACATCAAGATTTGTTAAAACCTATAAATTTTTACGGAAATTAAATTGAATACTATGAGATTTTATTCAATTTTACAACCACAGAATAGTATACTTTTTGTGTGTGACTAGGTTTACTTTGGGAACGTGTCACATTAATTATTTGGTCTCTGTTCATTGTGATATGATCGTGAAATTAACAAAGATTTTTCACAGATATTATCAAATGTATTAAACCAAATTGAAATAAAATAATAATTATATATATATAGTTATGGTTTAGCTTTCTTATTAGAAATACTTCAGCAGTTATAATCAAAATAATCAACACCTAATCTGTTGCCAAGGGAGTTTATTTAAAAAACGAACTCCCTCGGCAACAGATTAGGTGTTGATTATTTTGATTATTAATTTGCCGAGTATGTTTTCTGTTCAGCAGTTATACTCAAAATGTATGCAACTTCGTAGTCATTGTATAAATAAACAACAAACTACTGAACTCAAGTTTAGCATATTGCTCTTTGTAGTAGTTTTTATATATGGACAGATTAAATTTTAAAAAATGACACAAAGTAAAAACTGAAAATTTAGTATAATCATGATCTAGTATTATACGCATGTAATATATTTCATCAACAGTTTAACTGTGTATTTTTAAAGCTTGTTTCAATTATTATTGATAAAGGTATCTTATACACTGCATAGTGGAGATATCAGAGACTTATTGCACTGTTAGGTAGAAGTGTCCCTTTGATGCTTTGGTAACAGTGAGATAAGTCTCTGCTATACAATGTATGAGATACCTTTATCAGAGATATCAATGTTGATGAAACTTCAGAATCTTATCCAACAATATTAGAATTAATTTAAAATCATCTTTACCTTGATAAAAGAATGTGACAAAATAGTTATTTTTATCTATATATATATATATATCAATGTTTTATATCCACAATACAAACATTGATTTCACAAAATGTTATGTATTGCTCTTACATTATAACTTCAGTTTTTGCTATCTTTATAACATAATTTGTATTCAAATATTATCTGTAAAGTAGTACCAATTTTTCATTTGTTTATGTAAACAGCTGCAGCAAGAATTAGCAATGTTAAAATTTTAACACAGTTAAGTAGTTTATGATTAAAAATCATTTTCATCTGAAGTTTTTAATAAAACTTAAATTGCAGAGCATTTTGAAAAATATATTATGATACTCTGAATTTTCATTACCTAATTGACACACTTCCATTTTAGGCAGGTAACAACAACAAAGATTATTGCATTACAAATATATTCAAGGGAAAAAAAAAAGATTAGATTACAAACAACATATCAGAATTATAGAAATAAAAAAAAAACTAACTTTTCAATTAAAATTTACAGGAATGCTTTTACATTATACTGGTACTGTACATTTTGTTCCCTAACTGCTTCAATCATACCATAATTTTGACTTCTCCAAATTATTCTGGCCTGATCATGTTGCAATTAACCTACTTTTATGAATGAGTCAATGATGCTCACTCTCTAAATTTGCAGACACCTGAAACAGTGCAACCCGATTGCATTATCACTTCTTGAGCCGTATAAATGCCACATTTGATGCATGTGGCAATTGGCTTTCCTTGAATAAGTTGAGCCAAAAAACCTAAAAATTAGAATTTAGTGATTTAGATCATATTAGAAAGATTAAGGAAAATATTTTTTATAATAATTGATCACCTCCGACAAAAGCATCTCCAGCTCCGTTTGAATCTACAAGTTCTTCTGTTGACAGTGACTTTACTGGAAATTCTGTAATCTTACTATCTGAAAGTTTACATAGCATATAAATTTATTTAATATTTAAATATAAAACAAATACAGTGGGTGATTGGCTAACGAACAGTTTGGAAAGCACACACTTCACAGAACAAACACAAAAAGAAGTGAATAAGGGAAAACCAATCGGTATTTATTTTGTCTACAGGTAATAATTCAAAATCTTTCGGAACATGGGAGACACTCAACCCAACATCAATCAGATATTATTCCTCCAAACTTTGAAACTCTGCATTATAATTCCAGCCTTTTGTTTACCTTTCTGACAAATAATTTATTATAGTCTTTGCAAGACTGTTGTACACTTGTTAAGTTTCGCATCTGTTTTTATTTTCTAAAGGTGAGAGTTTAACTGTCCTATTGGATATTCGTTAATGGTTTAACACCAAAATTTTCAATTTCATTCGGTCCTCACCTTACATAATTCTTTCATGCACTAGTTGACTTCTGTTCACTGAATTTTTGTGAATGCTTTTCTGAACTTTTTATTTCAAAAAGACATTGATAATATTACGAAGCCTAAAAAGAGTGGAGTGTCGAGAATTGTGCTCACCTTAGAAACCAAGCAAGAGATAATAGCCAAGGTAGAGAGTGGACAGATGATGTATTGGAACAGATTATATTTGTTAACCGATCACCCACTATAAATATTTTAGTAGATGGATTTACAGATAAAGTACAGTCGACCCTCCTATAACACGGGTTCCTATAGTTCGGATTCCTATATCATGGCGAAAAAATTGCAACAGTATTCGTACAAACATGCTAAAAAAACTCCTAATTCAGTAAAACATCGTCGCCGACTCGTGTCGCGATGGGATTGCACAAACTGTCGAGTTAAGCGAGCAGCGGACCTACCAAAAACCATTTATTATTTAACATCCATAAAAATTATATTTATATTAATGATGTCTCTAAAGTTCAGCGAATTTTTTGCAAAAAATAATTTATTGGGAAACACGCAAATGCCATTCGATGACAATCTCCACAACAAAAACAAGCTTAAGCAACGGCATAGTCGAACAGTGCACACTTGGTAAGTAATCCTACAATTTTTTGTTTATAGCATAGTTTATATGGATTATTCCCAAAAAATTATACGTATTTTGGAAATGTTGGTCGAATTAGTCTAGAATCGATTAATTTTATGGAAGAAACCTTTCAAACAGCCATAGTCTGTAAACTGAATACGTGCCGGGCTGTGATTGGCTGGACTCCTAGAAGCTGGATTCATAAAAAGAGGAACGTATCTACAGTGTTATGGGAGGGGGGGTCGACTGTATAATTTGAATTTTAGCTAAAGTTCTACCAAATGAGCTGAACTACAGCTCATAATTTCAACAGTTAGCTCAGCTATAGGTGAATCTCTAATTTCTTTAACTTGCACTTAGGCAATCTACTGCCCAAGACACTTTGTTTCAATTGCCAGTTGTGCTTCTGCTATAATGAAGTATCAGTTTGGTATAACTTTCTGTATCATCCCATAATGAATATGTATATACCATACATAAAAAGAAAAAATATTAAAACTTACTTCAACCTCAGTTCAATCAACTAAAAGAAACTACCCCAAATTACAAAAACTCTGAGTTTACAAAATAACAGGAAAAATCAGAAGACCTGTCCCATCTGCTTCAAATTATTGGGACTACAGTATTAAGCCATTGAAATTTTTATATGTAATAATCTGGTCAAAGTACTAGTCTTTAAAATTTCCCCAATTACAAAAATCTGTCCTAGGATTCTTTGGAAGAAGCAGTGTGAAGTAGATGACATAACTTATTGAAAAGTAAGTATAATGGAAAAAATAATTCAGTACTGTGCTATTTTAATTTACACAGATTTTCTAATATAATTTTATGTAATGTATATATTAAAAACTTACCACATGCAAGAATTACAGGAAGTTCACCTTGTGTAATGACTACAAGTCTTGGTTTCTCATTATTTATTTTTGGTAGATCACAAATTCTTAGAGCAATCTCTTTAACATCTGTTGTCTGAAATTTTAATAAAATGTTTATTTTATGTAGAATTTTATTGTCAAAGAACAGAATGATTGCAGAAACAAATTATTAGATAATTCCTTTTGTTTCACTCTCAAATGTTCAGTTTCATTAATATGAAATATGTAAGTTATCTAAGTACGATTGCTTCATTTGTAAACACATACTATCAGATTAACATGTTAAATGATTATATGACTTACAGCATCTGAGACCAATGATAATCACCTACACATAGAATTAAATAGTAAATTATATGCCATTATAAATAAAATTCAGGTTCAATGGGAGAATTTACATTTTATTTTGAAGGCAGTAAAGTTTGTGAAATTTCAGATGAATATTTCAAACTCCCTCATTTGGGAAAAAAAAGCATTGTAAAACTGGTCACAGTTAATTGAAAAATTTATATAATTCAAGTGTAATAAGAACTATTATATTTCTAAGAAATAAGCCACATTCAAATATTCATTTGTGTTACCACCATCATTTTTGGTTACAAATTTCACAACAGATTCTATTGGCTAATTCTGTTCATGATTTTATTTATTTTCTCTAATATAGCAAGCAGTCTTAAGTAATTTTTTTAGAAACATTTACTATGTAAAAATATTCTATTGAGTATTGCTACATTGTCATCATCAAGGTAATCTTCATATACATTTATATTTACAATCAACCATACATTATTTATTTTCCTTTAAAATGATGAATTCATTATACCAATACAATTCATCACCAATGATTTCAACCACCAATTTGAGAACAACAACAACAACTTGTATTAAAGTAAAGGTAAATTCAGTCTTTTTAATTAAATTGAGAAAAATTCTAAATTTACTACTTTGAAAATCAAACTATTTGATTACATAAGTAAAGTTTTAGAAAAAAACCAAATATGCTGGATTTTTATCAAAGCTAGGTAAATTTTGGTTTATCTTGAAACTAAAAACAAATTGTCATTTTTTGTAATTTTCTAATACACCATCAAATTTTTTCAAAATGTCAGACATTTCAGTTGAACTTGCATCCTTTCTTCTAGTGATTTTACATATTTGACAACAAAATTCATGTACTGATATAAAAATAAATATAGCATTAACACTCAGAATAGCTTATTTCATTTTTAGGTAGGATTTCATCTTTCTAATTTTTAATGAAACTCCAAATAACAGGGTCTGTATCTTCTTCATTTTCTTTAAGAAAATAGATTTTACTGAAACCCAGTTTTTAAGAAATATCTCAAGAGCACCAAAAAATGATGCATACTTGGAATTATATTTCAAGCATTGTAGAGCACTTTAAACATAGCTCCAAGAATCAGAGTCCGAGTCCATACAGACATGGAATTTCATTAAAAGTCGGAATCTGCAAACACCACAGAATCCATCTGTTGCTCTCACTCTTTTTTGATCTGAATAAGTCTTTAAATTCAGTTCGTTATAGGGAGGTTTGCAAAAATTGGAGCAACCAAACAAATGGCAAGATTAGTCTTGTAAACTATAAATGATAATCTAACAATTTAAATTTTGTTGGATAGAAGGTTTATGTTTATATTTAAAATGGTGAGTAGTGGGGTGGACAGCTGTGCAGGGAAGGGAGTAGCAGTTTCGCGAGAACACAAACTGGTGATGCAGTGGGCACCTAATCAATGAAACTTTGGGATCGCAAAGAGACGGGCCATTAAAATTGGTGTTTATTTGTACATTATTATTTACAAATTCTGTTTTATCAGTTATTATTGCTAAAATTATAGGACAATAACTGCGAGTTAAAGAAAATTTTCATAATGTCAAAGAAACTGCAAAGAAAATTTGAACAGAAATGTAAGAAATGTATATCATTAGAAAGAAAAATTTAAAAGGAATCAGAAAAGCCCAAAATGACTATACAATCTGCATCGTTCGGCATTAGAGAGCATAAGAAAACCTAGTGCATCAACTCCAATGCAAATATTTCAAATGTGCCATTGCCTAAACCAGTGTTTCTCAACGGGGGCAATATCGCCCCCATGTGGGCGTTTTTCCATGTTCAGGGGGCGATTAGCAACAATTTATATTTTGGGGGGCGAAAAACAATTTTCTGGGTGATATAGTAAAACATTATATTAAGAATAATTAGATATTTTATTCATTATATTGTACAATAATTAAACAAATAACATTATACTAGTCACTAGTCTATTCAATGCAGTACGAATTTGGCGTTGGCCCTCGGCATCGGAATTTTGTAGTGAAGGGGGCGATACTTCGTAACGGTTTTATTGAAGGGGACAACAATTCGTTAGAGGTTGAGAAACACTGGCCTAAACCAATATTGATTTGGAATATGATAACCACCAAGATTATTCATTTACATCTTATCATTCCTCTAATAACTCAAACATGGATACATACCTTAAACAATTGTGATTGTGTCTCATACACAACCCTCCCAATTTTTATTAACCTGCAAAGCATTTAGTTAACTTATTGTAGTCAGTTGATGCTGCAGGGGAAGCAAAGAACTGTCAAATTGGCTTAATGATATTGTGTACACTTTGAACTGCATGGCAGACCTCATGCAACTCGTGTATTTATTTGTTGTATTCTTCACTGCAGGCCAGGATTATTATCTCCACATATGGAAGTATATGGAGATGATAATCCCACCAATTTTTTGACAGATTGACAATCTGTGATATGTCTTCTCTCTAACTGCAAATTTTTGTCTTCAGATGGCCTATGGAATTTAAGAAGTCCACATTTTTCACCAAGTATACCAAATATCACCAGAGTTAAAATTGAGTTTTCAAAAACACCATTGACAACAACCAGCTTTCCCACCAAAACTCTGCTGCTCCCACTAAAGTTTCAGAGAGTAATGGGAAGAAATGTAACGACCTTGAATGGGTCCATGCAGGACTAAAAATAACATGCAATAGGCTATTTCTCCATCTCACAAAATTTCTTCAGTTTAAATTACTTTGAATTTACTATCTCCTCTTTAAGAAAATTTGATTTTAAGAGGCAACACAAATTTATGAATTAATATAAATTAAATCATGAAATTTTTTATATGATGTAGAAATGGTGTAGCTAATTACAAAATCAATTTTATGCAAAGTTTTTCATTTTTTGTAAGTGAATAATAAAATAAAAATATTATATAATAAAAAAATATAATGTATAAAATGGGCTTAAATATATTTGGCTGAATATAATGGAAAGAGGAAATGTAGAGATGTTAATAAGTCAGGGAATAATGTCATAATTGGTCTGGTAATCACAGATAGAATTACCTGTACAGTCATCAACATTGATTAACCGTGAGATGGAAAATTGTTTAAAGACTGACTAGTTGATAATCTAATTCATGTAAACAAAACCTTTATTCTGTAATAAAACTAATGCTTTTATCAAAGCACTTCATTGTCGTACTACTACTACTGACATACCCTAGCTATCAATTAAAAAACTTGATCCTCTGGTTTTTTGTCAAATTTATTTATTACAAAACAGATTATCCTATAATTAATTTGGTTCCATCCATCTGTAGATTGACTTAGAACGTTACTACAACTTAGAATGTGTTTCTGCCATCATCTCTATTATTTATAATTAAAATTAAGGCTACTTACATTGAAACTTTGTTCTGTAGCAAATGTTTGAGCTTCCTATATGCAAGGAAAAATAAGTAAATTAGTCTATATCACATGTATGATATTAGTAAGTTATAATTTTGAAGAAATGATAATTATATATTATAAGTTACAATGATAATACAGTAGAGCCTCAAAACCTCGGCACTCGATAACTCGGCCACACCCTGGCAGGGCAAAAAAATCCTTAGTTAATTCATTTTCATTATAGACAGCTTTATAAAAGTATAAAAGCTCTCATAAGGTATTTTTCTGAGGTCTGTCTTATCAAGTAAATTACTGTACACAGTGTATTCATTAATTTTCATTTTCATGTAGTAAAGGCTCTATGCCTTCATAAAGGACGTACTTTTCCTTTGTTTAAGGGTATTTGGGCAGTTTATTCTCTGTTGTATTCTCAAGCAAACAATACATACAAGTACAGTACAATATTTTCTGAGGAAACACGCATACTTATCCTTTTTTAACCCCATTCCCGATAACCCGGCATTTTCACAAACTTGGCCACCCTTCGGTCCACATTAGGCCGAGTTTTCGAGGCTCTACTGTATATATATTTTGGTAATAATTATTTCAATTTATCACCGCATCATTAAATATAAATCAATTTTAGATACTCTTTAATTAAAATATATTTGGATGTACTGTATTTATTCTAATAAACAGTGTCCTTTAATAAACAGCACACTATTGAATAAATGCAGTGTGTATGTATGTATATATAAAATGTTACCTAATGGTAANCATGTGGGCATTTTTCCATGCTGAGGGGGTGATTAGTAACAATTTATATTTTATTTTTTTTGGGGGGGCGAAAAACAATTTTCTGGGTGATATAGTAAAACATTATATTAAGAATAATTAGATATTTTATTCATTATATTGTACAATAATTAAACAAATAACATTATACTAGTCACTAGTCTATTCAATGCAGTACGAATTTGGCGTTGGCCCTCGGCATCGGAATTTTGTAGTGAAGGGGGCGATACTTCGTAACGGTTTTATTGAAGGGGACAACAATTCGTTAGAGGTTGAGAAACACTGGCCTAAACCAATATTGATTTGGAATATGATAACCACCAAGATTATTCATTTACATCTTATCATTCCTCTAATAACTCAAACATGGATACATACCTTAAACAATTGTGATTGTGTCTCGTACACAACCCTCCCAATTTTTATTAACCTGCAAAGCATTTAGTTAACTTATTGTAGTCAGTTGATGCTGCAGGGGAAGCAAAGAACTGTCAAATTGGCTTAATGATATTGTGTACACTTTGAACTGCATGGCAGACCTCATGCAACTCGTGTATTTATTTGTTGTATTCTTCACTGCAGGCCAGGATTATTATCTCCACATATGGAAGTATATGGAGATGATAATCCCACCAATTTTTTGACAGATTGACAATCTGTGATATGTCTTCTCTCTAACTGCAAATTTTTGTCTTCAGATGGCCTATGGAATTTAAGAAGTCCACATTTTTCACCAAGTATACCAAATATCACCAGAGTTAAAATTGAGTTTTCAAAAACACCATTGACAACAACCAGCTTTCCCACCAAAACTCTGCTGCTCCCACTAAAGTTTCAGAGAGTAATGGGAAGAAATGTAACGACCTTGAATGGGTCCATGCAGGACTAAAAATAACATGCAATAGGCTATTTCTCCATCTCACAAAATTTCTTCAGTTTAAATTACTTTGAATTTACTATCTCCTCTTTAAGAAAATTTGATTTTAAGAGGCAACACAAATTTATGAATTAATATAAATTAAATCATGAAATTTTTTATATGATGTAGAAATGGTGTAGCTAATTACAAAATCAATTTTATGCAAAGTTTTTCATTTTTTGTAAGTGAATAATAAAATAAAAATATTATATAATAAAAAAATATAATGTATAAAATGGGCTTAAATATATTTGGCTGAATATAATGGAAAGAGGAAATGTAGAGATGTTAATAAGTCAGGGAATAATGTCATAATTGGTCTGGTAATCACAGATAGAATTACCTGTACAGTCATCAACATTGATTAACCGTGAGATGGAAAATTGTTTAAAGACTGACTAGTTGATAATCTAATTCATGTAAACAAAACCTTTATTCTGTAATAAAACTAATGCTTTTATCAAAGCACTTCATTGTCGTACTACTACTACTGACATACCCTAGCTATCAATTAAAAAACTTGATCCTCTGGTTTTTTGTCAAATTTATTTATTACAAAACAGATTATCCTATAATTAATTTGGTTCCATCCATCTGTAGATTGACTTAGAACGTTACTACAACTTAGAATGTGTTTCTGCCATCATCTCTATTATTTATAATTAAAATTAAGGCTACTTACATTGAAACTTTGTTCTGTAGCAAATGTTTGAGCTTCCTATATGCAAGGAAAAATAAGTAAATTAGTCTATATCACATGTATGATATTAGTAAGTTATAATTTTGAAGAAATGATAATTATATATTATAAGTTACAATGATAATACAGTAGAGCCTCAAAACCTCGGCACTCGATAACTCGGCCACACCCTGGCAGGGCAAAAAAATCCTTAGTTAATTCATTTTCATTATAGACAGCTTTATAAAAGTATAAAAGCTCTCATAAGGTATTTTTCTGAGGTCTGTCTTATCAAGTAAATTACTGTACACAGTGTATTCATTAATTTTCATTTTCATGCAGTAAAGGCTCTATGCCTTCATAAAGGACGTACTTTTCCTTTGTTTAAGGGTATTTGGGCAGTTTATTCTCTGTTGTATTCTCAAGCAAACAATACATACAAGTACAGTACAATATTTTCTGAGGAAACACGCATACTTATCCTTTTTTAACCCCATTCCCGATAACCCGGCATTTTCACAAACTTGGCCACCCTTCGGTCCACATTAGGCCGAGTTTTCGAGGCTCTACTGTATATATATTTTGGTAATAATTATTTCAATTTATCACCGCATCATTAAATATAAATCAATTTTAGATACTCTTTAATTAAAATATATTTGGATGTACTGTATTTATTCTAATAAACAGTGTCCTTTAATAAACAGCACACTATTGAATAAATGCAGTGTGTATGTATGTATATATAATAAAATAATATATATATATATTACTTTAAATTGTATATATATTACTGTAATTTATTCTTTGGATTCAAATAGCTCAGTATTCCAAAGAATTTTGTATTTTAAATGTATTCTTAACTGTTCTATACAAAAAGAACAGTTATCAATATTCCATGATTTTTAAAAACCTGAAAATGGCCTGTAGAACAGGTTGAAAACATTCATTACAAATCTTATCAATATTCCACCTAAACAGCTAGTATTTAAGTTTAAAGATTAGCCTTAACCTTAAACATTTGAATATGAAAAAATAATATTAAGACTTACCGTTTCATTACCAAATAAAATATCAACATATGGTAGTGCCTGCATCATAGGTTCCTTAAAAAACTGACTTAAAAATGGAGCACTAAGATTCATTATAAAAGTTTTGTTATTCTTGCAAGCATGCTTTGCTACTTCCAAAATTGTTTCTGGACTTACTGTCAAAAAGAAACCCTAAAAAAATTCACAGAATTAATTTTGAAGTGGAAAACATTTTATAAAGAAGAAATCATAAAAAAAAGTCTAAAAATATTAAGAAAGCAGATTTTGAGGAGACAATATATTTACACCAACTGAAAAATAATTTTCTGTCATATGAACTATCTTATTATTATGATTATTAGACAAAATTTTTATGTTTAATTTATATCAGTACTAAATTCCAATTCCAGTTTAATTTCATAATTTAGATTTAAACATAAAATTAAAATATAGCAGATTTTTAAAAAATTTAAACAAATATTCCAAATATGGATTATATTTATTAGTAGGATATATCTTAAACATAAAAAAATTTCTAGAGTAAGGACTTTTAATTTACATGCATTCCTTATTTATCTATTAGTTTACTTTTATTTGCATTGCCAATATAAATAGGCAAATTATTTTATTAGCATATCTATTGATATATCTCATCAGATAATCTATATTCAAACTCTTTGAAGATACATAGTCTTATTATTTGATTTATATGTTCAGAATTACATTTTTCAAGTTTTATATATACTTTTTTTGTAGAGTTTAAAAAAGAGAATTTTTTGTATTAATCTTAATGTCAATCACAAAATCATTTTATTTAATGGAAATAAAAAATTCTTAAAGTAGAATTAATTTTGAAAGTATATAATATATTAAAGAATTATTATTTAATATATATCATCATCAAAAAGTAAGTAGATGGAAAGTTATAGATTGAATAAAGATATTCAAATAGCTTTAAATTCAGGATAATTTAAATGATTTTCTGTATGTTATTTATCTTAAATATTTTTAGTTTCTATATTTATTCAAAATAACATAATAATATACTGTATAGTACATTCTTTCAGAAATAAATCTAACTAAAATATAGAATTCTATTGTTATGTCATAATAACACACCTTCAATTCCTGTATATCATTGGGCTATATACGGCAATTGAAGATGTGTTATTGCAATGTATCAGACATAGTTAAGATGTTTATATGTCATATAAATTTCTTATAATAAATCCAAATCTATTTAAAACAAACCGAATGAAAAATTGTCAGAATATGTCAGAGCTGAAACAAAAATATTTACAAAATTTAAACATAAACTTTATACATATAATTTTTTCTTCTTCTTTTAAAAATTAAAATATGTAAAGCACACTAAATTACTTAAATCACTTTTAATTAATAATATAAAATATGGCCAAATTCATTAAAAAAATTTTTTGGATTTAAAATTTTATCTTTTTATTATCATATATACTATTTTATTATTTTACTTAAACATTTTTAAGAGTATGTCATGACAAATGCAAGTTATTACATAGCTGGAAAACTGCCTAGAATCTACTCCTATTGAATAATCAGTAGGAATAAAATGCATCTTACCAAAAAATATTTAATTTCATCAAACAAAAATATATACCTGTAGTTTAGGCTATACAGATACAGTCTAAATTCATTTTTTAATCTTAAAGTTTAATGTTTTGGATGTCTTAATTTTCCATTGTTTTCTTTGTTTAAAAATAGAAATTTAAATGCTTTCTCAAGTAGCAAAATGTTTTTATTATTGTATGTAATATATGTAAAAACATTTTCATCCATTCAGCCATATGTTTTTTTTAAACTTATGTAATAGTTCCCTTGTTTGGGAAGCCACACTCAACTCACCAGGTTTTTCTTTTTTTTGTTAAGGAAATTAGGGATATGCATTTTGGGCTTTTTAACTCCTCTTCAGTCCAATCCATTATTTTTAATTTTATAAACAAGAATGACAAACCAGATTACAAGAAAAAATTAAATTTATTCATAAATTACACTATTCACTAAGAGATTTATAACAAAAAAAAATTTATCAAACTTACAGTTATATAAAAGAATTCAGCATTTTCTATCAGCTGTCTATTTTCTGTCTTCCTTATATGATCAACTTCAAAACAATTTGCTGCAGCTAGATTAGCACATAATGACCTAAAGTATCAAGATTTTTTGTATAGTTACTTTCAATTAACTTATATAAAGTTTAAAGGAAACAATTTCAATATATATATAACAAAAACAAATGGTGAGGTTTACAAAGAAAAGGAAAAAGCTTTAATAAACATTAAATTTTGCAACACTTTTCATTAACTAAGAATATGTCAGAGCTGAAACAAAAATATTTACATAATTTAAACAAATTTTATATAAATAAAATAAAGTATAGATATTATCATGTTATGTAATTACAGTTTTGACTTAATTAACATTAAACTGTTAACTAGATTGATTCCATAGTCACAGTATAGTTTTCTAAAAGTCAATAGTTCAAATTCATTGCTTAGCAGTTGCCTTTTACATCTTTTGACAATACTCATGTTACTTATTATACTAATCAGCAGATTCCAATTATTGTAATTCAAGATATTGTTATCAATAAATTAACATTATCAAAACTAACAAGTCTCAAAACATACAAGCATGCATCCCAAAACATACATTATAAAAACTTTGTTATTCTAATTAAAATCTGTTTATTGTTGTTATTATCTTCAGTTAATAAGCCTTTTTATGCTTTCTTTTCATGCTAAGCAGCCTTAACATGCATAAATATGTTATTGATCTTAATCAGAACTTTAGTTTTATTATTTTAGTTGTTTTAATTTGCTCACTAAACATTAGTTTAAATTGCTGGCATTACATTAAGTGTTGGTAGCAGATAAACAATACTGAATGAAACTATCATTAATTAATAATTAATAAAGAACTAAAATAAAATATATACATCCAGTAAAAATTATCTTAATTAACTTTCCTGCTTATATAAAATACATCAACTCATCATAGAAGGATTAAGATAATTTTTACTGGATGTATATATTTTATTTTAGTTCTTTATTTCATTTTAATTAACTTGTATAATCTTTGTGATTATTTAAGCTTGTTAAATCTTAACATAAATTTGTATAACTGCTTTTTGAATTATTATTTTACGTAATTTTGAATTCTTCGTTTTATTCAAAATGATAACTGAGGATGATCGCTTAAAGTGTCAGAAAGTGTTTTTAAGATATTAAAAACGATTTGCTGGATTGTTTAAAGGTTTTTTTTTTTTTTACTTATTGTAGTTCCAGTAAGAAAGTATTTATTAATTAAGTCATTAAGTTATCTATTTTCAAATTGTTTTAATATTTGAATGACATCAAAATTTCCTCTAATTGTAGTTTTTCTTACTTTGCATAATGTTAATAGCCAGTTATTGTTATTAGTTTAGGAAAGCCCCAAAGTGATTACAATAAATGGAGTCTACTGTATTAGATAAGATGAATTAATGTAATTAATTTCAAACAAAAGTATATTAAATAGTAAATTATTACATCTTACAAATTTTATTTATGTTAAAGAGTTAAAGTATTTTCTTAAAGTTTAAAATAATTTACAAATATTTGTTTCAAATTACACTTTCAGACTCAAACAAACTGATTATTTTCAAAACTGGATTAAAGTTCAATATCAACAAGTTTTGCTAATGAAATTGAAACTTCATCATTAAACATTATTATTGATAAAGCAGTAAAAAATAATCTCAAATCAAATAATATGCAATATAATTTATATTCAAAATTAAAATTCACATTCTACAATTTTATATTTAATAAAATAAATTTTATTAATGTAATTTATACTTTTATATTAAATTTTAATACATATATAGATTATTAAACTTAATAGCATTACAGATAAATAATCTGTAACAATTTAGTTTTACTTGCTGTTTTTATTGTTTTTCATAGTCAAGCAATAGGAATTTTGATTACTCTCTAGAACTCTTTGTTAAGAATCAAACACTGAACAATTTTTACAATGTCTCAATACATTTCAATTCCATAGTGAAAATAATGTGAGTATTAACAAAAACATTCAGAAATTAATCAAGGAAGTTTGATGAGTATATTTGGATAAAGTATTCATTATAATTAATCAGTTTTTTAGTGTTAAGAAAAATAGATTTATGACAAAATTAATAAAAAGGTATATATTCTTAAAATGGTTTTAACAAACTCAACACTGTCATCTTCAGGTTGCAAATATTTGGAACACTTTTAAAGCAAATACTTTGAAAGAAGAATGTTTTAAGATTATAATTTTTCAAAACAAATTTTTTAAGGATTAAATGTACATAAAAATTCAAATAAATGGTATAGGTTACAAGTTTTTAAACTGAGTAAATATGCAAAATTAATAATACACTTAATTTTTATATTTTATGTTAAAATGTAAGAAAAATATATTGTGGTAAAAAAAAAACAATGAAAAGAAGGAAGACTCACTGAGTATGGTGTTAACAATTTTTTTATCATTATTAGTGCTTTCAACAATCTTATGTTCATCATCATCAGGTGAATGAAAATTTAAAAATATAGAATGCAATGTTCTAACAAGAGTGGAACAAACATTATTTAAATTAAAATTAAAAACTGTTACGAGTGTGCTACAAACTTCGATTATGCTCAATGTTATGATATCATACATCATGTGCATGAATATAGATCCACATTAAAGGTGTAAAAGCATATTTATATCACTATTTAACTGTTTATATAGGGCAACCAATATGTTGGGAGGTCAAGTGTGGGAGTGTTGTTGCACAGTTCCAAGGTTGTTGTGAGGAGAGATTTCTATATAAACACATGTTTACAGCATCTAAATAGTGTTGGCATTTACTGAACTTATGGAAGTTAACAGATTCAACTCCAAAACAATAGAAATGTGCAAATTTAGAACATCTAGAACAAAACAAATCACTTTTCAGAACTTTATGTTTGCAGAAAAAATGAACGTTCGAACAATGGCTCACCATTATTCTCTGCTATTACCCTTCATATGGGATAATATTTCATATATGTTATCATATATAACAGAGGTGGCCATACTGTGGCTTATGAGCTGTGAAAGACACTTTTAGATCCTTATTGCACTCCCACATACAGGTAACCCCCGTATAACACGGTAGTTACGTTCCAAAAAATTGCCGTGTTATGCGAATCCGTGTTATACGAAACAAAGAACTAATACGAAAAGGAGGGTTAGGTTCCAAAAATTAAAAAACATGCTAGTATATTTTCATAATTAAGATAAATATCTTCATTAAAATTTTTTTAACTGATACATATTAATTAAACAATGTTTTCTTCGTCCTCACTAAAAACACTATTAATTAATTAACCGAGAGCATTTTCTTTTTGGCAAGTTATCCTTATCCTCTGAGCATTTTTCTGCATTATCTTCAGATCCATGCTTTACATTTTAGATTGCTTGCTTCTAGTTAAAAGGTCTTTATAAATTTCCTTATATGGTGCTAAGCACTTATGAAGAATAAAGCAAGTATGGAATAAGGGGAAAACATTCGGCAACATCAGAAGCAGAAGCGTTGCGATCTGGCAACATTGAAGTTTCGAGAAGGACCACGTGTATCGACAGAAGGTGAGAAGAGAAAATTTACATACTTAAGTACTAATAGTTCACGAAAATAATAATTTTCGTGAATTATTATTACTTAAGTATGTAAAAATTTATTACATTTCCTGTTGTACGAGGGTTTTACCCAATTCTCAAACCGTGTCAGAGTGAATCCGTGCTATAAAAGTACCGTGTTATACGGGGTTTACCTGTACTTACACAATTTCTTTTTATGAACTTGGCACATACTACTTTCACATATATGACATTTTTATAAGATTTCTGACTATTGTATAATAGACACAGAAATTGTGAAACTTGCAACTTAACCTCAAACAGACAACTGAAAGTTTAGGTCATATTCATAAAGTTGAAGGAGTTAAATGAATATAGATACTGTATGATGACTAGATAAGAAAAGTAACAGTGATATTTACTATAGAACAGTGATAATTATCTTACATATAGTTAAAATACTATAAACAGAGAAAGTTTTATTCCAATAAGTATTCCAATAGAGGATGTGGCTCTCATGTATTTCTTACATTCATTACAATGATTTCTCTTCTTAAGCAAATACTTTTATTATTTAAAACAATTATAAATATCGAATCTGTTACTATCACTACAAAAATACCATTCCAAGAGATTGATATCAAATTTATCAAGAATAAAAATATTGATATTTACCTATTGGTTCCATTACCCGTTAATACAACAGCACAAGTTCCTGTAGGTGTCTCTGAACTATACTGATAACTAACATTGACTCCTGCTTCACGAGCTTTTTTCTCTAATGTTTTTCCAAATGAATCTTTTCCAATACATCCCATGAAACTGCATATTTCTGGTGTATTTAAAACCCACTAGAAAAATAAGAAAATTACATATATATGAATTTTATTAGTAATAATACAATACAGAACAGTACAATACAGAATTTTATGATGAATATATTTATGATTATATTTGTATTTTTTTAAATGCAAGTAGGCACCTGTGCTTCATATTAATATTAACATTAAGAATACTGTATATATAAATTAATTTCCTTTTTTCAAGCATTTTAAACCAAAAAAAGTAATAATAATAATTAAAAATTTATTTTAATTGCTATTTGTTCCCAAATTACAAACTTTTTTATTTGTTAGTTAATCTTTAAAATATAATCTAGAATCATGCTCATTTTTATCTCATTACTTTCCTATTACTTTGACTTTAAATATATTGTATATTATAATTGTTTAATATATAATATATAGCAATAGTATGCATTATATGTGCAACCAAAACTATTTATAAATATATACTGGTATATTTGGTAATGATAAGGATGTAAGTCATCCCCAAACAGACAATAGGCTACCAATAGGTTATAATGAAATGTGACTATGGAATATAGTAGTCTATAGCAAAAGTGTTCATAACATCTTCATCAAAACTTTACTGAACATAATACTTTTTAATATGATATATAATATGACATACACCAACATTATGAGCCAACTTTGAAACTACAAGACCATTACACTCTCAGCATGCCCTCTATATTAAATAAGATGATTAAGTGTAAGTTTTAGTTGGAAATATTTATGATAGCCTGATGGAGTTATAGCAAGCAGTATACAGAAATGTTAGATGTGCTATTCCATAGCGGTAATAGTTTGTATTTTACACTTATTCTATAAGTCAACTTACATTGCAATATATATAGCATTATTGTAGATATTAAATCAAAAGACAACAATTTAAAATAATTTGATATTTCCATAGTTAAAAAATTTTTATTTATATAAAGTTTTTGCATTTAATATCATTTAATTTATCATATTATAGCAAATAAATGAGAAAGAAAATCATTTTTCTTTCTCATTTATTTGCTATGATATAATAAATAAGTTTGGTTCATATAGGCCTATGTTAAACTGTTAAATATGGTTTATTTTAATAAACTCTTATTTAATCATCTTATTTATTCCTCCCTGACATCCTTTTACATAGGAGATACAGAGACGATATTTTAGTTCTCTGGAGGACTGTACCAGATATGACGGTCTTTGTCAACACTATAAATTTTTTAATTTATCAAAATCAGTAATCTATTTAAATAGAAAAAAAAACTAACCTGAGCAATTCTCATTGTATTCTGACAAGCACCTCCAGCAGTATATTCAACATCATAGTTTTCAATCATTTCTTGATACCTAAATTTAGTAAAAACATTTTCATAATTCTTATGGCTGTTATTATTATTACGATATATTATAAATAAATGAATTACATAAGAGTAAATTATTTTGTTAGTGTGAAAATTAATTTTACTATACTCACATTGACTGATGTTTCTCTTCAGCCAATATTGCATTATTTGCTTTCAAGTCATATCTGTTTATATATTCAAAAAATTTCAAATAATGTTTTTCTAAAAATAGTTCAACATAACATTTATATTTTAATCAGGGGTGCACAACCTGCGGCCCGCGGGCCACATACGGCCCCCTATCAATGTTTATGCGGCCCGCGGACGGTACAGGCCAAATCCCTTCTTTTGAAGTTTCTAAGTGTAGAACTTTTTCCCTTTCACAAAGTCATTAGCACCCAACTGTTTTATTACTTTCCCTGNAAATTAATTTTATTATTTTTCAATTCTATTATAGTTATGGCAACATCTTCATTCAGTCCAGTCTCAGCTTGATATACTTCAAAAATTTAAACATGTATCTAAAAGTGACATGTCAAGGCCTACACAATTTGCAGGTATAATTTTAATATACAGGGTGTCCGGTGGAATTAAAGATCCAATTCTTTTAAGTGCTGAAGTTAAGGCTCTTCGAGAAATCAATGAAAAGGTAATAAAATTTTCAATTTACAATATTATTTTATAAAATATTTGGAATATAGTATTTTGTTAAAGTAAACTGAATTATTAATAGATTTGCATAGATTTAAATCTATTTATCAACCACATTAAACTACCACTTAATTCTTGGAAAACATTAAAAGATTTTGTCTGGATCACACTCATCTTTAAGACTGTGTAATTGTTGATTAAAAGAAAAAAATGATATATCTAAGTGTTTAACATAAATATGATATAAGTCAAAATATTCTATTTTTTCTAATTTTCATAGTAATAATTAAAAATCATTTTAACATGAACTATATTTCTTTTAAATCCATAAAATGAAAAAAGTAACTAAAGAAAATCTCTGAAAAAGANCGAAACACTTGTTAAGTGAAACAATTTTTCCCATAAAAATTAATGTAAAATACAATAATGCATTCCACACCAAAAAAATACTCAAATATTTTGTATAACATTTATTCAAAGAAAATTGTACAATGTGCATTGTTAAGAAGAGTGAATCATCATCATCTTTTCTTCTAGCAGAATTCGATTTGCAGAAAACAAAAAAATCACAGATAATATGTTTGATAAACACTCCAAACGATATGCCAAATTCTTGGGCTATGTAAAGGTTATAATTAAATAATAGAAATGAATTAATTTGACTAGAGGTAGGCAGTTATGCTTCTATCTCATATTAAATTTAATAATTATAAATAGTTAATTTTTAATTCAGACATTTCTAAAATTTAATTTGGAATTGGTCATTAAATTTAATATGAGATGGCAGCATAACTGCCTACCTCTAGTCAAATTAATTCATTTCTAATATTTAATTATAGCCTTGCCTTTACATGGGTTATGTAAAGGTTATAAAGAATTTGGCATATTGTTTTGCGTGTTTATTATATAATGGGCTATGGTTGTTGATGTTTAAAAGTAATGTGTGTGAACACAAGTTTGGAAAAATACGTGATCACAAGTGACACTAAGATGCTAGCAGTACGAGTGCTAAACACAGACTGACAGAGCATGTGCACAGTTCGAGACTTTCTCTCTCCTCATCACTCATTATGTGAAACATCACTCGTTAAGCAAGGCAATTTTTTATAAATTGTTTTGCTCGTTATGCAAGGTTCTCATTAAGCGAGGTTCCACTGTATTTTAATTCTCAGCCAAATAGAAGAGTGGAGTAAAGTGGACATTATAGCTTGCATTGATTTTTATAAGAATCAAATGCTTTATAAATTTCTTTTATATTTGATTACAGTTCAAAAAACAATTAGTTTGATTCATTTCTGGCAAAAAAAAATCATTTTTAGTTTTTCATTTTAAAGCTTCAATGCAAATCATATGATTATTGTAATTTGAATCTATTAGTTTTTAATATTTTTTTTTTTGTCATTAACTTAAGACAAAAATTAGACATTTTTAAGATAAGTTTAATATGAATTTGAAGTTCTCATATTTTTATATTAATATAAATTTCAAAAACACAAGTCTTTTAATGAACTATAAATTTTGTGCTATAGTTTATAAAAACATGACTCAGTTTATTTGTTCTTTTCATATTATTAACCATCTATAAAAACAAAGTTACAGATTTAACTATGATTACTTTATATCTTTTGTTTATTTAATTTTTTTCAATAACACAATTCAGTTAAAATTCAATATTGTAAATAGAATAAGATGTTTATGTATAAATAATTCAAATATATTATAAACTTTTATATCAATATATTTCAACAGTAAAATCTTTTTATGACATTTCAAAGTACTGGTTTCAGTTCTTGTTTCTGTAGAAAACTCACAGTAATATTTTATTCATCTGAGAGAAATATTAACTGATTACTAATTTTAAAATTAAGTACTAGAAAATTGGATTAGAATTGTTAGAGTTTGACTCTCATTAACTCAACATTCTGTAAAACTTCATGTTAAAAAAATACTTGTAATATAATTTTTAGCTGTATAACTTAATACTAGGATCAAATAAGTTATTTGTTATTTACTGACAATACTTAATAATAGCGTCAATTCCACACATTAACAAAGAATATGTCTTTTTTCAAGATGCTGCTGCAAAACCCACAGCACGAATGTCACTAACTTGAAAGAGCAGGGGCAAATTCTCTGGGCTTGCTTAGCATGCACCGCATGCTTAAGAGAGAGTTTTGACTGTCAATATAGTTTTTATATGAGAACAAATATGCCAATAATAATTTATTCTAACGTATAAATTCTTTTATCATTTGTGTTTGCTTTTACATTGACAGCTAGCAGTTAGCCATTTTAAGTCAGTGCCATGCTTGTGGGAACTTGATCGTTTGCTTGTGTGGAAGTTTGCCACAGCAAACAAGCACATGTGCATGATGTCATTTGAAGCATTTAACACAGCCAAATCATATTGAAAGCTTGCAGTACCCAGTCAGCATATATATATTGTATATAGGGACAGATCTATATAGAAATTAATAGGGTTTAAGCCCTGGGCTCCCAGAGTCAAGGGCCTAAAATTTGAATTATCATCATAAATTTTTAATATTTTTCATTATAATATATTTCATGTATAGATATAATGGGCTTTATAATAGTCCATACTTTTTTATTCATACCGAATAACGTTTCTGCCTATTGTTTAGCACTAATGATAATAACTTTCAGCATGCTCAAAAATTTTGGTCAGGATTTGTCCCTGCCTGAAAGTAACCACTGAATAGCCAATATTTTTCAAATTAAAATTTAACCATAAATAGAAATAGTCACTATTGGTACATAGTTAATACATATATGCATTTGTATATATAATATCTTTATGAAAATTTCACTATTTAGACTAGTATCATCGCTAGCCATAAAACTCGTCATTTTTGGTAACTCTTCACTATCTCAGTTCACATTAAGTTGAATTTACAGGACTCTACTGTAATTCAATTAATATCTAGAATATAATTTATTATATGAAATTAATTTTATTATTTTTCAATTCTATTATAGTTATGGCAACATCTTCATTCAGTCCAGTCTCAGCTTGATATACTTCAAAAATTTAAACATGTATCTAAAAGTGACATGTCAAGGCCTACACAATTTGCAGGTATAATTTTAATATACAGGGTGTCCATCNTATTTTAAATTTAATCAAATATACATGTATATTTGATTAAATTTAAAATATATTTTTTAAGCAGATCAACAAAACTATTTCAATTAATTTAATCATTGTGATTTTCTAACAATCTAACAAACCAAAATTATTTGAATATTAAAATTGAAAACTATATCAAATTTCAGTACAATATTAGTAAAAACTGAATAAAAAATAGATGATTTAATGTTAAGTATTCAAATTGTCTTCTATTAATTACACAAATAGTTGTAATTACTATATAGTAAGCTTATAACAGAGAGGAAACTGGAACACAGATCGGTGTAGAAAATGAGGGATGGGAAAAAATAATGGGAAAATTCAGGTATGGTGACAGAAGTGAAAAAAGTGGGATGCTTCTAGAGTTTGCTACAGAACAAGATCTGCTAATCTGCAATTAATGATTTCAACAAAAGCCATGCTAAAAATGGTCATGGAAATCAGTGGATGGAAAAACTAAAAATTTGATTGATTTTATCTTCTTAAGTAACAGATGGGGTTCAGTCATTCAACTATTCTAAGGCAGTGGTTCCCAATTAGTTTTTCCCGTGTACCACTTCAAGAAAGAGCTCAAACTCGCGTACCCCTTATAGCAGAAATTCATATTAATCCATACTAATATTATAAATTCTAAGGTAATTCTGTCTGCTTGTCTCTGTTACCTTTTCACGTCTAAACCGCCAAACAGGTTTTAATAAAATTTGGCACAGAGATAGCCTACATGTTGGAGATGAACATAGGCCACATTTTACTGCGAGAAAATATCTTACTCACACGAGAAAATTCTATATAATGCGGGCGAAGCCATGGGTAGACAGCAAGTGATAAATAGAATAAGTTTTTTTTTTTACATTTATTACCTTTAAAATACAATTCTAATAATAATGAAAATAACATAAGGTTATTTAATTTTAATGCGACAAATGTGCATGATTTTCTTTGCGCAACTTTGTAAAATCTGGTCGCTTTTTGGTCAGCTTTGGTCTTGAGTCGTCTTCGAGTCGAAGTCGGTGACGATGTTTAGTTTTCACGTTTGTCACGGCCGAAAATCCGCTCTCGCAGAGGTATGTTGCGCAAAATGCTAGAAAATATTTTATTGTTGCTTTGCTGACACGATAATAATGATAATTGTACAATTAACACAAATTGTGTTAATTGTACAATTTTTGTTTCTCGCGTAAGAATTTCGTTTAGGTATTGTCACAAATGCATTTTTTGATGAAATTTCGAGAATATTTTTAGTTATAAATAAACAAATTTGTGCATTCAAGATTATGTTGTAAATTGCCGAATTTTTGATGGTCCACCCATTATTTTTTTTGATTGCTTCATCTCGTGCATTTAAATTTTAAATCGACCGATTTTAGATTGTCACGCATACCCCTTCATGCAATATCGCGTACCACCGGGGGTACGCATACCACTAATTGGGAGCCATTGTTCTAAGGCACTGATATTGAGTCAGATCATAGCCTAATAATAGCCAACCTTAAGCCAACTTTAAAATGAAGACACCAAGGGAATTTCTTTAAGAAAATGAATTTAGATAAATTGAGCTCAAATAACATAAGAAATAAATATCAAGAAGAGCTCAAACAAAAACTAACAAACCACAACCATACACTTTGCCTCGATCAAAGAATGGAAACTCTGAAAAGATTATACAAGAAACCCAAAGAAACTATCCTATAGACTACAGAAGGAAGCTATAAATATTTGGACATGTATGCAGAATGAACTCAGAAAGAGGATTAAAGACCCTGGTGTATTCAGATTCATAGATGGCAGAAACAGGACTGGTAGACCTCACAAAAAGTGGATTGATGACATCAGTCTGGTGTGGAAGAAGCCTCCAAAGACCTCTATAATGCTGCACAGGGTTGGACATGGAAGGAACTGACAAGGACTTCATCAGATTCTAATGGGCACTGGTCCCAAGAGAATTGATCAATTGATTGAATCTTTTACCATTGATTGTCCTATTGTTCATTGCTTATATTAACAAAATAAATCACTGCAAACTAAATGATATTAATCAATAAATAAATAATTACTATTTGTTAAGTTGTTTAGCATAAATAAGTATAATTTTTTGAAATATAAAGCTTACACAGTATACATGTAAAAACAGTTATTCCATTCCTAATAGGTCTTAAAACTGTTTAAAAAACACAATCCTAAAAAACCAGAACTTACTGTAATTTTAAGAAATATATGCATGGCTAATTAAATAATTTTTAATAATAATAATTTTCATTAATAAATAAAATCATCAAAAATATAATTGTGTAATGTATTAATAGAATGTGGAAAGTATGCACATGTATATGCTCTCCACATTTTAGAAAATCAATTTCATATTTTTCAGTAACAAATCTGTGGAAATCAAACTTGCATTCTATCTACCAAAGAAATTAATTTTGTATTTCTTAAATATGGATAAACAGATGATTGATATTATATTTATACTATGATGTTAGAATGGTATTTACACTAAGAATTGTTTATTTTTATATTTCTAATTGAATTAGTTATCTTGTTGATTAATTAAAACAATTTATTTTATAAATTCAAACAATAAATAATCTTTATTAAATCTATCCTTGATTACTTAAATCAGATTCATCAGATGTTAATAGATTTCTTGATTTTATTCAGATAATTACAATTTATATAAAATTTATCTCTGTAATTATATTACTACAGAGAAATGTAATTGAATAATACATAATTTAATGATTGAATTATATATATATATATTTTATATGAATATGAATTAAACTTACTTCTTAAGAAAATCTTCATCAGTATTAGCAGAAATATCAAGAAGGGGATTACCTAAACCTAACAGAATTCCTTTCCTGAAAAAATATATAATCAGATCAAATTATTGAAGTACTGATTTTAAAAGCAGATTTGAAATGCATGATTGACATTAAATGATTCAATTTTATTTAGTGAAAACTGTCTAATCCCTATAGCACTATAGTTTACTAGTCTACTCTATTTCTCTAATAAACTAAGTGTGGTTATGAATTATCTGTACAGTACATATATTAGTTACTTATTCTGTTTAAAGTAGCTAGATCTAAAATCTGCTAGCCATAAACTAATGAAAATTAAGACAACAAGAAATTTATTTATTTGTTGTTGATTAATAATTGTCAAAATAACATTTTCAGAGATACAATTTTATTTAAACTAGCATGATTAATGGCTTTCTTTTAATAATATTTATGATTAAAATTTTCCAAATTATCATTTTAGCTTATGCTCTTGATTCAAAATAAAATTTTATTTCAAAATANAATTCTAAAAATTTTTTCTATTTGAAAAAAAAAAAAAAAGAAAAAAAAAAGATTTTTACTCAAACCAATTTTAATTTTTATAGTTAGTTGGATTTTGACAAACTTAAAATAAGTGAAGGGTTCATTCAAATAGTTTATTTGCCCATTTTGGTATATTAGACATAAAAAACTGATACACAAACTGGAAATATATACTAAAACAACCACTTCACACCTAAGTGTTAATTCCAGCAAACGAACAATAAAAAAGGGTTTAATGTTCAAACATTTTCGGCCGTCTTTCAGAGGCCGTCGTCAGGAAAAATTGCATAGAACAGAAAAAATAGAAAAAACAGCTTTATCTTTTTAACAGTTTTTGAATATAGCTGTGTTCTAATTTTTAACATTTAAATTTTAACATTGTTTTAACCTTTATTATTATTATTTTAACATGTTAAAATAAAGGAAAAAATTGTTCAAAAAGCTACAAAAATCCCTAAGATTAAAGTTTCTTGTCAAAAAATTATTTTTGCTTCCATTGGGAAACATTACATTACATTACACAGTTTACTAATTTTATTATGTGCTGTAAAAGCAATGCCTAATTGAGTAATGTAGATTGTGTCTTTATTGATGGCAATTGAAACAATTTCAGATTTTAAACTATTTATTTATAATAAAAACATTTCGACTATTTAATAATTTTAAAATTATATATTTAAATACAATTACAAATAACTTATTAATTTAAATATGACATTATTAATAATAGAATTTTAAAAATAGTTTAAGAACTTTCACATTTTATATGCCAAAAAAGGAAAAGTAATACTTTACTTTTATATGTCAGAAATTACAAGAATTTAGCTTAAAAAAAAGGAATTTTACAGATTTGAATAATTCATTGAAGGAATTTTATAGATTTGAATAATTCATTTAATTTTTGAAATCACTCAAATACTAATTATTTGATTGAGGAAAGCCATTACTATCTGACTGGATGGCCAAGACAGTAAAGGCATCAACCTACCATTCTGGAGGCCTGGAATCAAATCTGTGCAGGGAACCTAGGAATTTTTCAGGGGTTAGACTGTCCCAGATATGTCAGATCCTGTCCCTTGCCACTTGGCTGTCCTATTGCATGTCTGAAAAAAAGGCCCTCTTAGTTCTCACAAGGCAAAAACAGACAAAAAAAGCATCACTACTAAAGATATTATTTTGAAATGAACATCACAGATTCAAACTTTTCAGTAAAAAATTTAAGGTCCAAATTGAAATTAGAATAAAGTCATATTCTAATTAAAACATTAATAAATATTAACTTGTATGCTTCATTTTTATTCATTTTATTTCATTTAACAATGGCTACAGTATCAGTGTTCTCTCCGAAAGAAATTTTACATGGTCAGTATACAACCTGTTAACTGGCTACTATTGAACTTCTTTACAAACTTCAGTTAATGACACCATATGTACTCTATCCTAAATTGTTAGTAGTCTCTGGTTAAAAATAATAATTGCTAAATAAATATTTTTAACTGGTTGGTATAAATATTTAACTGATTGATCAATCAGCTAAAACTGACTTGGGGGAGAATACTGCAATATAATGTAATACATAGAACTTGCTTGCATAATATTTGCTACATCTTGTTAGTTTACACAGTATAAGCAACATTCAAACAGGAATTTTACTAAATTTATGAGTACTAATATGTCTATTCAAAAATTTGCTGTTTCTGTGAATATTAATTGGAACTGCAATTAAAAGATAGAACTAAATATTTAAATATATGTAGAATTTGATCATTTATTACATGCCACATGAATGAGCTTGTCACAATTCATCATCACTAAAACACCAAAAAGATGGTCAACACAGCATCTGTCTGCATATGCAGAGAAGGATGGCATCTGGATCAACTTTGAAGAGTCTAGTCTATTACATCACATAGTGGCCTGCAAGGTGATTAAGGATGGCAGAGCAATTAATTTTAAAGAGAAATATATTCTGCAGTTTGGTGGGCATTTGTTGAAATGCACTGAGAACTGTGGTGTCATTGTGCATGTCCATTCTTGAATTTTCATTTAAAAAATATGTTCAGTTTGTATTTGATAATACCCAACAATACCCATTGTAGATGAATGTAAACATTAATATGTAAAAATTTTGGTTTATTCATAATTTCTTTAGTGTTTGTGTTATTTGTGACAAATACAACAAATTTCTGTTGTGATAGTTTATGAAAAGTATTTTACCATAATAAACACTCTTGCTGTACTTTATAGTCTGCCATTAGGTATTTGGCCACTATCATTAACAACAATCTCAGTGTTTTTAGAAACATTTTGCCTTCTCTTTTCCATATTCTTTTGGAGCATCTGCACGTCCTTTTCTGCTGTCTATTCATAGTCCTGTAGATTAAATCTTTTCACAAAAGTAAAAATAGTTTAAATAAATAACACCAGGATAATGGCATATAGATTTTTTTTTTGGTACAATAATTGACGACTTAGATTGAATATATTTTTCCATAAAAAAACACTTTGTTCTACAATATATTCTGCTTTTGTGTATTTGGTCATTATCATCAATAGTGACTTCGCAGAACTACCAAATCATTAGCAACAAGTAATTTTTAACCTATTTCATGTCTGTAAATTTTAAAGTAAAAAAGTTTTTAGTATCTGAAATAAGCAAATAAATTCTGGAAATCTGTATTTTATGACTGTTAATTTAAATTTCTTTTTTCTACAAACAATTTATTAATTTCATTAAATTTACAGGAAAAAATCTGGATAGACAATTGATTTCTGCCCCTTACAAAAACATATATCATAAAAACAAACAACACCCCTTAAAACAAAAAAAAAAAACAAATAAAAACATGTAACAAATCTTAAAATGATACAGCACTTTTTACATTTAATTTAAAATCAGGGAAATCAAGATGTAAAAATTCATCAAAGTGATTAAGGTTTTGTAATATATTGTAGAAAAAAGGTCATTGAGATAGACCAGGGGTACCAAACTACAGCCCGTGAGGTCAGTTTATTCGGCCTGCTGCTGCACTGTGCCACAAATAAGGTAAAATGTAATTATTTATATGGAAATATCATAGTTTTTAGATAAACTTGCACTTATTTTTATTTTTTCTACATAGTAAGTAAAAATGCTGGAAGTGGTCCAGTCTGATTTTTGCATCTGACAGTAATATAATTTTTACGGAAAATCAGTGAAATGAAAAATTTGGTGACTTTGGATATCAGAGCAGTTTTTGTGTAAGGCCCTGAAATTAAGTTTCTAAGAAAAGAGATTACAAGCTTGCTGCAGCAATCATGTTTGTGTATTGGCAAATAAATATGTTGGTTGTTTTTATTTTTTTGTGTATTCACTGTTGTGGCCTGCACTCATCATTCAGTTATCTGGCTCACTATGAAAAAAGTTTGGTGACCCCTGGGATAGAGAATAAAAAGGAGTAAAAATGTAAGTAAATGAGTGAAGTTTTCTTAATGGAATTTGAAGCAAAAGCCAATCTCAGTAAATAAGAGCATTAAAATATTTATAATATTTTAACTGATTGAAATATTTAATTCTCTCAAAGAAAGACAGGAAGCCCAGGTGAATTCTAGCAATATTAGAGTCAATAGTGAAAGGCAGATTACGCATTCTGTTAAATGTGAGTTATATCTTATTAATAGCAGTAGTAATCTTGTGTAAAAGGGAAGGTGCAGCCATTGACCAGATAGGCAATCTATAATCAATGCAAAATTGAGCATTATCATAAAAAATGGTCCACAATACTCATTTATTAAAGATGGGCTTACAAAATCGCCATAAAATTTTGTCTGATAGCAGTGATTTAACTAGTTTATCAATATGATTTTTGAAAGCAAGTGTCAAAAACTATGCCTAAATTGCAAATAGAAGTTACGTAATTAATTGGATTAGAATCAATGTAAAAAACAGGTAATGGAGGATTACAAATCAAAGCATAACACATAATCACTGTTTTTTCTGTATCAATTCATTGCAGATTTAAACATATTTATTAATAAATAGATATCAGACTAAGATAGATGGATCAGAACAGGTTACTTTCATGTCATCGGCATAAGTTATAATATGAGTTGATTTAAATATATTGAAGTTGAATTAAATATATTGAAAACGAAAAAAGGCCATTAAGAATAGATCGTTGTTGAATACCATATAAAGGAACAAAATCAAGGAAAGTATAATCACGTATTTTAATTTTATAAGTTCTTAATAAGAAATAATTGTTGAACCAAGATTGAATCACAGGATCAATATCATATTTATGTAGTATGTTAAGAAGAATATTAGCTAATACAGAATCAAATGCAGTGCTTATATCAATATATATTATGTAATATAGCTGCTTATTTTCAAAATTGTTAATTATATAAAACAAAGTTTGTAATAAGTTCATTGTTATCAAATGGTGGCAGATGGAACAATGTTGAAAAGGAAGAAGTTTATTAAATAAAGGAGAGTAGAAACATTCTAGTGCTATATATCTCATATGTATCCAGCCAAAATGCATATTGTAAACAATTTTATACATAGAATTTTTTAAAAATAAATGTGGATCTTTCATAATAGTGTCTCCTGTTCATTGTTTCAATAGTCTTGGTTAGAATGTGGCTTTAGAGTATAATGTGTGATGCATTAGTCATATTCAACATTACAATTTTGTTTGATAAAAATTTGCATAAGCCATTCTTGAACATAAAACAATTTTAGTTTCTATTGATTTATAGTTTTTTAAGTTATATAAAATAATGCTAAAAGATTATGCATTATACAAAACTTATAGTATATTGCAGAATTTGTTCAATTATAAATTTAAGAATATTTAATTAATTTAGTCTAAAATTTCTAGCATATTCAATTTGAAATACAATAAAATATCTATTTAGATGTGGCACTGGAATTCCAATAAGTACCCTGATATTAATGATACTTTACTAAATAGCATTAAAATTTACTACTCACCCAACATACACAATCATAACCAATATTGTCTGACTACATTATTTTGGAATGGAGACTTGACTTACATATTTAGAGAAGAGGTGGGATGTAGATATGTAGAGTGGGATTTGTAGAGAAGATGTAGTTCATGGAAAAGACTGACAGACTCTCCTTGCTCACAGCCAATCACACAGATAAAGGGGATGTAATGTTTGCTAGGGAGAACTACTCAAGCATGCTTTTTTAAATCAGTGCAACTTTGAAATTAAGTATATATTTGAAATCAGAACACAATCTTTAAAATCAGTACATCTGGCCACTTTAACTATAAATAATGCTTTTAAAAATATCTATTAGCACAATGAAATATTATAGTTTGCACTTACGACACTATTTATTAAGAATTAAGTATGAAGAAATTACTATTTATTAAAGAATTAAGTATGAAGAAATACTTAATTCTTTGAGTAATAATTTGATAAGTTTGAATTCTTTTTTACACCAGAGTTGTAACATATTTGTCTTGTAACAAAATATATCCTCTTTACTTTATTATTTATTATAATCATTAATACATTATAATAAAATGCAATTATAGGAAATATAAGTCCAATCTTTTTTATTTATGCATATGGTAAGCATCTGACTTCTAAATATAGTCGCGTCTGCATAAGTCGACACCTCAAGGGAAAGTGGATGTGTCAAGTTATCTGACATGACTGAAAAAAAACAAAAACATAAAACTACAATTAGGAAAACAGTAGTGCTTTATACAGTAAACTATAGCTTACAATACATTGTGTACTCCATTTACAATAATGTTATAGATGATAAAGTGAAAAATTCGTTTAGTGTTGTTTGTTTTGAGCACTTAACTGTCTTGACTTTCTTTTCAACAATCATGAACACCTTGAAAACTTCATCTTTGCAATTGTTGGCAAGTAACATCTAATGATTCTTAATGCCTCTAGTGCATCAGTTTTAGTTAGTTTGAAATCAGAACACAATCTTAGTTGGGGTTTAGCTCTTCTAGTGTTCCATTCTCTTCTCTTCACCTCCAGACTCATTATTCTCATCCTGAATTTCTGTGACAATATCGACAACACTCACTGAGTAACACACCTCCACGCAATCATCCACTGTGCTGTAGTCGGTTTCATCAACAGAGGCAGTTTCTCATAGATCATAGCAATGTCACAGCAATTCATCCAATTGAACGTTCTGTTCTTCACCCTTATCTTCATCTTGAACTGCCACTGTATAACAATATCCTGCATGTTTAAAGCAGTTTGCAATGGTTAAGCATGTTACATTTTCCCAAGCAACCTTCATGTAATGAATCACATCTAATAGGGAAATGTCAGTCAATTTTCCACTTTCTACACATGAATCAAATCCAAAATAAGCTTCTTCCAATAATGACATTTGAATAATACCCTAATTCAGCAGTTGCACTACAGAAGTGGTATTCGACAGTAGAGTAAATACATTAATCACTTATAGTCCTTCAACTTTTCCATGAGCAGGACAGTTGTCAACAACGAATGCTACGTTCCTTGTTTGCTTAACAAATTGGGAATCATATTTGTGAAGAATTCTCCCAAATTTTGGAAGTCATCCAACTTTTCGAATTTGCCTTGTATATGACAGGTTCACTCTGTTGAAACATCAGGGCAGTCAAGATTTTCCTATAACAAGGACTTCAGCTTTTCAGAGCCATCAGAGTTTGCACCAAGAAGGATTGTAACTCGCAGCTTTGATTTGCTCTGCCATGGCAACTCATTTTTAAACATAGTGGTTTTCTCCAGAAGAAATTTGTAGAAAAGTCCCATTTCATCAAGATTGAAAATGTTTTCTGGTTTATACGATTTCTCGATCACTTGTAAAACTGTCTCTTTCCAAGTTCCAACAGAGTCATATCAACAGATTCTTTTTCTCCACACAGCTTGTGTGGAAACCTTTAAATCCCTCTAACCATCCATCACAGCACTAAAGTTGGTTTCTACTCCAAGTACTCCAGTGATTTCCATTGCTTTTTGTTTCAGTATCAGCCCTGAAACAGGAAGATTCAATGAACAAGTTTGCTTTAGCCAACATAACAGAGCATCTTTTTACAGAGACTTTCTCTGGCATTCAAGACAGCCACAATGAAGACCCAAGAAAAAGTTTCTTAATTTCCTCTTTTATCTTCAGGATTCCCACCAATGTTGTTCTTGGAAGGTTTTTTTGTTTTGCAAATTCATCTTGTGAAGTTTTATTACATTCAACTTCAGATACTCGTTTGTATTTTTCCTCAGTGTAAGTGTTGTTAGTTTTTGGATATTCATTTCTATTAGAAATGTGAAACACTTGTTGCAAATAATGCATGAATGAATGAAAGGTGAAAAAATGCAAAATCAGATTCTGCTGTGACATTAAGCTCTATGGTGTGAACTCATTTTTTTTCAGGAAGGGAGTTGACATACAGCATCAGACATCTAGACGAGTATGGGACAGAAAAAGTATGTTGATTTATCCAGTGGTGACGAGTTAAACAGTGTTGAGTAAACCAGAGTTTTTTAATGTTAATGCCTATGTAAGTCAGCTAGGACCACAGAAAACTGACTACTTAACCAACGGTATCTAGTTATACCTATGACAACTTATGCAGGCTCAACTGTATATACAATAACTTAATGCAAGTACAATCATTTATAGAAGTTTTATCTTATATAAATATATATATATTCTGTTTCCTCAATTTTTTCTTCATTAAAGAATTTTTATTACACAATTTTTAAAAATTTTAAATATCTGTTCAGTAATAATGATCATCGGTACAGCTTCAGAACAGCATTTGTCTTCATGTCTCTAAAAATTGATTTTCTTCTCTTTATTGTAGGTCAAAACATATTAAGATCAAATCTAGAAAAAAAAATTAAATAGGTAAAACATATATGAAAAAATTCACTATATTGCTGTAATTTTTCTTAAATAATCTATTAATTTATTCATTCTAATATAGTAAGTGATAAAATAATATTAGTTTAGTAAAATATTGGAAATTGGAAATACAGTAGAGCCTCGAAAACTCGGCACTCCGGATAACTCGGCCACACCCTGGCAGGGCAAAAAAAATCCTTAGTTAATTAATTTTCATTATAGACAGCTTTATGCCTCAAAGTATTTTTCTGAGGTCTGTCTTATCAAGTAAATTACTGTACACAGTGTATTCATTAATTTTCATTTTCATGCAGTAAAGGCTCTATGCCTTCATAAAGGACGTACTTTTCCTTTGTTTAAGGGTATTTGGGCAGTTTATTCTCTGTTGTATTCTCAAGCAAACAATACATACAAGTACAGTACAATATTTTCTGAGGAAACACGCATACTTATCCTTTTTTAACCCCATTCCCGATAACCCGGCATTTTCACAAACTTGGCCACCCTTCGGTCCACATTAGGCCGAGTTTTCGAGGGTCTACTGTATATCAATATTTTACTATACATTTTCATCCTCTATTATATTATTAATGCAATCTAAAATTTTTATTCTTAAACATTATTATAAATAGTAATATCAACAATTCAAAAATTTTTATATTATGGTCTTGAAATACTTAGCATCTATAATGGAACTATCGTGTAAACTGGAGAAATATGAATTACTTGGAGACTATCACATAGAGATGTATTTACAAACTCTAACTTTGTCAAGCTTTTATTATTTTCCCACCAATTTCATGTTTATTGCTAATTTATTGTTAATTTTTTATTTTCCATAGTATTTAAATTTTATATGTTCTATTTTATGTTTTAAATTTTACCTTGTGTTCTTTTTCATTCAAATTTTTATATATTAAATAATTTGACAACTGAAGACTTCTAAATTTAGGTTGAAAATGTTTTTGTTGTTAAACTTGTTGCCAGAATGTACAAGGAATGAATTTTATTTTAACATCTATATTAGATCAGATCCTATTTCAGTTGACAGATTTGATAAAAAAAAACAGGAAGTAATTTTATATCTAGTTTCTAAATACATTTAAACAATACAATTAATATAATATGATTATTATTAATTGTTGATAACACCCTCTTGTATTAACTCTTATAAAGGCTATTCAATTACAGAGTTTAACTCTTATATTCTCTATAGTCTATCACTTGCCAGTCCTGAAACATCCTTTCTTTCTAGACCTGGAAATGTCATAACAGATGCTACACAAACAAAAGTAGAGGTTCAGTCGATAATTTGTTCCCAAACTTGGTGCAGGAACCAATGTAAAATGTTCATTGCAGAATAATGGACAAATTGTTAAATGCAGAAAACTCAGAACTGACGGGACTAATTGTCAAGACAGAAAAAAAAATTACGTTTATTCACTTCTCAACTACTTACTCTTGATAGTACCAAAAAGAAAACAAACTGTACAAAAACAGCCTCTAAGGTATGAATAGCAATGTCCCAACTATTTCCACCCCTTGTGTAGTCAAACTGACTAATTTCTAGATTTAACAAGGTCCTATACTCCAATTCGTTTCTACTTGTCTCTAGAAACATCAGTTGTCTAGTACATTAGTAACTCACAGGGCACTGTCGTTCCTTGCTAGCTGCAGCTCTACCTCATCAAGACTCACTTCCCTAGGACTTTTATCCTTCCTGGGGTGATGTCACACTGTACCACACCTCCCATTCATTTACATTTTTGGTTATTTTCTTGTGGAATCTTTTTCTTACAGAGCACTAACAAAATATATAATTTAGAATCCTTACAGTCCAACATGTCCAGTAATTCAATGCTCCATAGACAGTGCACATGAAATTTTTTTTATTCTTGTTGATGTATGTGAAAGAGACAAACTGATGTACATATTTACTATCAGTTGCATGTGCAATAAACAACCATGCAGTCAGTAAAACAGTCACAATAATGATTCATATGATAAGCTAATCTGTAAACCAAGTGAATTTTTTACTGTACAGTAAATACATACATACAAAATTCAGTAATTCAACAATCTACTGTAATCTGACACCCACCATTCCAATGTATGTCAAATTATAGAGACTACTATATATTCAATTATTTTTCCTTCTTTCACTCCTCCTGTCTTGTGGACACTATGAATACCTTCCAATCACACCCATCATGGGTTCAGCCAGGTCCATAATGGAAGCAGCTGGTTATGTGCAGAATAGAACAAGTCACCCATCAAAAATTCCTAGGTTTCTTTGTCTACTTGGATTCAATCCCATATTCCCCTGCCTTTATTACCTCAGCCAGCCCTATATTCAATTTCTAATTTTTTAGTTATCATAAAATAAAGTTTACTAATAGTAATTTGATAACACACCAATTATTTCACAAAATCTTCAGTTAATCCAAATGCCACAATTTTCCAAAATACAATTAAAATCAAATACAGTAGAACCCTATTAGTGAAGTCCCAATTAACTGAAGTTTTATATTATCTAACACAATCAGTAAGTGATAATACACCATATTTCTTATATTTCATAAAAGCTTTGCTGTGAATTAATCGTGTTAATATTGTAGTACTTTTAACCTCAACTACACTGAGTTAACAGTCAAGGAGATGGTCACTGTTAGAATATGAGTGTGAGTCATTCATCCTTTTGCAACTGAACATAACCTGTCTATTCACCTATTGTCAGTGTCAGTGTCACTATCATTGATCACATCTGCCAGTGTGTTGATATATCTTTAAAAAATCTTTATAATCTTCATCTTGAATATCACAATCAGCAGAAAAAGTAAGCATACTGTGGTATCCTTTGAATTCAAAATCATTGCAGCTGCATGTTTCGTTCAATTTTTTCATTTACCTAATGTAGCATCAGTCCACATTAGCTTGGATAATCAGGGTTCTACTGTAATATTTAAAATAAATTATTAAATATTAGCAAAAATATTTTTAATTAAGAATGTATGCTAATTTAACTTGTTTTCATAAGAAATCAAATGCAATGGGATTTATAGCTAGACTGGATTCTACTTACTATGGATAGACCTGACATGTAAAGAAGTCAACAAATATGATCTGAAATGCCCATAAAAAAATTACAACTTTCAGATCAGAATGAAACCTAGATTCCTATCCTAATTGTTTTCATTAATAACTTCATTAATGACTGACATAATGTGTTTAAATGGAATTGACAAGTCAATATTTTATATATTAGAAAAATGCTCAAAGCAAACTAAAATCCATAGTTCTCAAAATTTCACCCAGATATTGAGAGCTTTTCTACTTTTCTGTAAGAATTCAAAGACATAATTCTAGATGATAATTTTTGTGTAAGAAATACTTATTTAAAATAATTATTAACTCTCTCAATTTTTATAAAGCAAAAATATGCACGCTAAATTTTAATCATAATAAATACGTTCAATTAAATATGTATAAACTATATGTATATAAAAATATTAGTTATCTTAATGTTTTCTCAAATACTTTACTAGCAAGGTTATATAGGCCTAAGTCTGCCTAGTGGCAATGAATGACATGACTTATCATCCTTCAGTACTGATTCTTTTTTGAAGGCAGACATGCAAATAATATAGTGCTCTGCATTGCAATGATGTATACAGAAATGAAACTTCAGTCAACAGGAAAACAGGATGTGTGACACGACTAACATTTACATGAAAATGGAATCACAAATAATCACACTGGAGGGTATGTAAATAATTTCAAGGCAAAATTAGCAAGAGTCTACTGTAATTTTATTTCAAAGATAAGAATGTTACAAATATCTATATATAAACTGTTGAAAGTCATCTGCTATTAGAGAATTTTCAAACAAATCAAATACTGTATTTACCGAGGGTAACATCCAGAATTGAGACAAAAAAGCAAAGAAAAATCCAAAACCGACAAGTCAACAAATATTAAAATTTAAGAGATTCTACAAATTTTAAAATGACATATAACATATACCAAATGAATTTTATTTAGAATAATTATGCAAATTTTATTAAAAAGATGTTCCAAATAAGTTAAACAATAGATAATAAATTTTATAATCCTTTCTTTTAAATACAGTGGGTGATCGGTTAATGAACATAATCCGTTCCAAGACTTTGTTTGCTATCTGAATTGTTGGTTAACAGATTATCAATTTACCAGGGCTGTGGAGTTGCATAAAAATCTACCGACTCCAACTCCGACTTTTCCTTACCAATCCGACTCCGGCTAAAACACCAAAACTCCACGACTCCGACTCCGCAGCACTGCCAGGACTGTAGAGTTGCGTGAAAATCTACCGACTCCAACTCCGACTTTTCCTTACCAATCCGACTCCGGCTAAAACACCAAAACTCCACGACTCCGACTCTGACTCCATAGCCCTGCCAGGGCTGTAGAGTCACGTAAAAATCTACCGACTCCAACTCCGACTTTTTCTTACCATCCGACTCCGACTAAAACACAAAACTCCACGACTCCGACTCCACAGCCCTGCAATTTACCATAGGTTTATATGGGAATTTGATTAATTCGTTCCGGAGACCCCAAAAAATAAAAAATATATACTTTTTTACTATGTTTATTTATATGTAATAGTAAACATAGTAAAAAAGTATTAAATGTAATAGTAAACATAGTAAAAGTAAAGTGCAGTCTTGCATTTTTATTAGTCATATTTTTTCTGTTTGTGGAGGTTAAATAATCTGACTAATGTCAATTGCTTTTCTCTTTTCTTCAGGATTTTCAGAATTAATAGCATTGTAATTGTAGAGATCCCCAAGCCTATTAACCTCAACCTGGTTTGTATCAACCATTGATCTGACATCTCCCACTTCTTCAAAAGATCTTTAATTAATAGCAGATATCGGCATTAATCCTCTTTTTCATAATAAAACATATCTTGCCGAGTTTATTGGTGTTCTTCATTCAAGAGTTCTTGGTGTTCTTCTGTCAGATCCATTTCAGGTTCCATAATGAGCTCTTCAATGTTCTTTATTTCTCAGATGTGATATTTGTTACTCCTTTAGCTGCTTGAGTTTTCTTAATTATACTGTATCTTTCTTAGATAATATTGAACTGCACCCTACTGTAGATTTGTTCAAGCCATACTGCCCAGCAACATCAGATATCTTCTGCCCACTCTCTACCTTTGCTATTATACTTTCACCTTTCAAAAATAAAAACCGACACAAAACTTAATGAGTGCCTGCCCGACAGTCTCGCGAATACTATAAAAAAATTGTTTGTCAGAAAAATAAAAGGCTGGAATTATAAGGGAGTATTTCAAAGTTTGAGGAATACTATCTGATCAGTATATATCAGGTTGAGCGTCAACATTGACTTCTCCCGTGCTCCAAAAAGTTACCTGAAGACAAAAGGAAAATCAATTGGTATTTACTATTTTCATTGCTTCTTTTTATGTTTGTGCAGTGAAGTGTTCATTATCCGATCATAAAAATCTTTCGCGAAAGTGTTCATTATCCGATCACCCACTGTATTATGCAAATCATGACAGCATTGTTTTATTATTGAAGTTAACAATCAAGGTTATATTTGTAAAAATGCAGTAAACACACAACAAAAAATTTAAAATTTAAATTTTATTGTTAGTTAAATTTTTAGTTACATGTTTACTTATATTAGTAAATATTTTCTAGTAGTATTTATTTAATCAAATACATTATTATATGAACATTATTATTATTTGAACTGCATCTTAAAATGGTCACAATAAATGATATCATCCACATTAAACATTAATATAACATTAATAACTTCATTAAAAAATGAAAAGGATTTACCTATTTTTCACTTCATATCTTCTTTATCAATTATTCTTATTCTTTCTAAATTACATGAAGATTACCTTGTGAAAAATGTAATGATAAAGTTACGTGATGATAAAAACATTTCACATCTGGAGAATTGACTATAGATGTATTCAATTTTCTTTTAATAACAATAATAACTTTATAAAAATGTAAATAGATCAAATGAAAGTTATATTAATAAAAATGTTCCTTATTTGTCTTGATTAACACTTTCTTTTTGAAGTAACACAACCCAGACTTTGGACTAAACTATGAAAATTGTTTAGTTTCGTTATCTGTGTCATAAAAACATAAAAATCATACATTTATTGTATCTGCACGTTAAAAAATATATAAAATTTTAATTATAAAAGGATGTTATCTTCAATTCGATAATTATCTTATCCAAATTTATAACAGAGATCATCGTATTATATCATTAAATACGAGTAAGTAAACTTAAAAACAGTTTCTCGTCTCAAAATAATCCCATTTTCCCAAATCTTACCTTAAACTACTCATTTTCTGTAGTTGAACACGTGGTCCACAGCGCAAAGCGGTTGGATACAGCTGAATACTTTAACAGGAAATGACGTAAAGGAAGATGTCGACAGACCATCTTTGATTCATGTGACCGACAATTTTTTTTTTTTTTTTTTTTAATAGACATCCGGAGATGACCACTTTTAATCTTTAATTATATAATCAGATAGAAAATGACCCTGGATATGTTTATATTATTTTTGATAAATCGAATTTTGTAATATGATATTTTTAAAAGCCGGTCACGATTTTGTAATTTAATATAAATATTAAATAACAAAATCGTGATTTACTGAGAATTTCTTGTTAAAATCTATTAAATAATAACCTTTGGAATATTAAAATGTAGGTTAATGAACATAATCCGTTCCAAGACTTTGTTCGTTATCCGATTATCAATTTACCATAGGTTTGTATGGGAATTTGATTAATTCGTTCCGGAGACCCCAAAAAATAAAAAATATATACTTTTTTACTATGTTTATTTATATGTAATAGTAAACATAGTAAAAAAGTATTAAATGTAATAGTAAACATAGTAAAAGTAAAGTGCAGTCTTGCATTTTTATTAGTCATATTTTTTCTGTTTGTGGAGGTTAAATAATCTGACTAATGTCAATTGCTTTTCTCTTTTCTTCAGNATTATTATAAAAATATATTATGAACAAAGTCTGAATTTAATCGATGTTTATTCTAAATAACCCTAACGCGAAGAAAGAAAAAATTCATTTACTAAATTCCTTTAGTCTATAAAATAAATTTAAAATTATTAATTCAGAATGTTTCAAAATACTTCAAAACATCATATTTCCTTTTTTTCTTCTTCTTCTTCTTCTTCTTCTTGCTATGGAATATTTGAACAGTAGCGGGTTGATTCTTCTACAATATTACGATTTCTTGAGAATCTGCTTAGAATTTCTGAGCAGAAATCTTATATAATTTCTAAATAGAAATAATTATTTATATATGGATTGATAATTCGAGAAATTAATTAATGCCTTAGACCTGTTCGTGAGGATACTATTGTAGAAGAAACTATTAACTTATATACTGTATAAAAGTAAACCATCGCGCAGCCTTAACTTCATGGATAATTTCAGGAATTGTTCGGGAAAAATTTTCCATTTATTTTCATACTTCTCTGATGTGTGCAGACTTATAATAATTTCGAACAGAACAGAATTTTTCATCTTGAACGCGATAATTCGATCAGTTAATAGTGATATATGAAACAAATATAACACTGATACGGGCCAAGTATCCATAAACATTTGATTAATGTTATCTTCTATTTAGTGCTGAAGTATAGTAAAATTGCCGAATATTATCTATAATTTGATCTTTGATTTGCTTGTTAGATAAAACAAAATTTCACCAATTCATCTATAAATTTTCATTGTTATGTAAGAAATGCAACTTTAAGCAAATACGTGTAGCCTATGGACCAATTTAATAAAACTATTTGCATAACAATAAAAACGATTTTGCAATGAATTTTGTAAATTTATGATGTTTCAATTCTTGTTTAGAAATGTTAGGAAGGTACGGTACGTACCGATATTCAGGATCTGTTTAACTTATAACTTAATTTTAGAATCAGTTGTTTACGTCGGCTGGAAATGCGCTAAGAAGACTAAGATGCCATAGTTGTAATGGAATTCATATTGAAATCTCATCTCAGTTTATGTAATTTAACATGATTGGTATTAATATTCGTGTAGTCGTTTTCATCTCTCAGCCATGTCGTATAAAGTTCGCCCGTAATGGGTGAAACTGTGCCAGTCATATTAGTATTATGCATTAACATTCGTTTACATTATTATTTTTAATCTTAACTTAATCTTCTTTGCGGGTATTAAGAAGCATTTACCAAAAGTATATAATCATTGGGACTTATCACTAGTTCTTCAGAGTAAGGCTGGTATCCATGCTATCTAGGCCAGAGATGGGAATCTTTTATAATCGGAAGACTACATCTCATTTCCGAGGAATTTCATAATACGGCAAGTTGCATAAGTGTACAGGAAGTTGTGCATATTTGCCATTCATACATTAAATATAGGGCTATATATAAATTACATTTAGATAGATGATTTTATTCAAAGAGAATTGTTAACATATTCTCAAAACTCAAAATTCATGACAATAAATTTAATCTTGTACTATTTTATATTGTTATAATGCGCAAATTTCCCACCTCCGATTTAGGCCATCCGTCTATCTACCTGTTTACATAATTACAAAAATAATAAATTGTGTTTATTAAATTTAATGTACGTTCAATTTAATGTTTCATAATTCTAGTAACAATGATTTAGACCAATTTAATATTTTTAAAAAAAAATAATTTTATGATAGTCGTCATGTCTCGCGCCATAACAGCTTTGAGTTAAAATTGTTTTATGCTCAAAGGATCAAAGTTACGAATTTAATGTCACGTTTATTTACTGTAAAATTTTTAATGACAATAAAGTCTTCATAAAATTCTCTTTTTTATCAAGTATATTAGGCTTTTATATTGATTTTATGTAAAGCCATTAACAATGATGCATAAACCCATTAACGTCGTGTCCGAAAAACGCCTATCGTAAAAAATTTTACTACTTTTACTAATAACTTCTAAGAAAAAACTTTCTTTCGAATTAAAAAAAACCTGCTTATAAGACGATTTTTCTACCAAGTGTAACTATTTATGGATATGAGTTTAATTTTACTTAACCGATCGTCCTGTTTGACTTTTGCATAGAGTTTATTCATCCGGGGCTGAGTAGGCAAGCGAGGTATTTGCGTAGGAGAAGCAGGTTATTCGGATTATTTTCGGAACAATATTAAATTTCTTTTTCTTTCATTTCATAACTTTTATTTGCATTAAATTCTGTAATAAGTAGTTTTAAAAAATATATAAGCTTTTCTATCTTCATGTTAAAACATTAAATTAAAATTAATTAAAATATTTTTCTTTCGAATTTGTTTATCAAATCTAGAATATATTTTTCTATATAATATTTAACAGTTGTTTATCTTTCCGTTTACGTTACTAGATGGAGGCACCGTCGATACAATATAAGAATGAATATACAGTATATATATGTATATATATATACAGTGTTAATATATCAATTAACAAAATTTATTTTAATCGAGTTTTCTGTATTTTAGTTGTAAATCAATTACTCAATATTATAAGTAATATTACAGATCTATAATCAAGTTTTTTTAATCGACTTCTCAATTGAATTGCAAAATAATAGTTCTGTAATTTAAACTTGATTCATTCACAAATAATTTAAATTTTAAATTTAAAAATTTTTTACGATTTTAATTCATTTAAGATTATTTTATATTAAACTGTTTACGAAAGTCTAAATGTTTTAAACAAATAAAAACAGATTTTTGTCTAATATAAATGTTCTCTATTAAGTTCGAAATGAAGGTAATATTTTACTTGGTTTTATTAAAAAAAACTATGGAAATAAAAACTAATGAGCGGAAAAGTTGGTATAGTTATGACAGACCATTCTCACAGTAAATTAAAATTGAGTTTCCAGATCAGCGAAGTGGAAATGATACGTGAGAATTATTTTATTATATCAGTTTGCAATGACGCAATTTGGTAGCTCATACATAAGTGATGAGGCATCCTACCGGGATGATTCAGTCATACCTTCACAATCGTTGCCAGCCCCCTAATTCCGAGGCTGCTACATTCATTGGTCAACCTGTCAGTTCTTCAAAGATTCATTAAATTTTCTATTTTCATTAGCCCAACTTTTAACAGACATCAAAGAACATTTTCCAACATATACTTCTCTCCTAATTAAGGTCATCTTAATAGGGTTAAGAGATATATTTTTTTCCTCCCATCTTTCCCTTTTGTCTAAAAGAACAGTCTCCGGATTATGACGTCATCGTGCTCCTCCCGGGTAACTGTCCAAGGGATAAGAAGAGAGAATAAATATTGCATCGAGCCTCCGAATAGAATAAATATTTAGGGGATAAAATTGGTATCAGGGGGAAAAATCCTATTCCCGTCTCTCGTATATCACGAGCAGTTGGGTGAGCAAAATGATTTTCTACATGTGTCACGCCTTCATCTCTGCCTCTTCGCCTACCCCGATGAGGTATAGAGTGGGGACCAATTTAGAGTTTTTTTTTCGAGTTACGTGTCCCGTTCCACATCATTTTCGTTCGTAGTTTCCTAGAGTAGAACTTAAATAGTTATGAAAAGTATACTCATGAGAAGGCAGCAAAAAAAATATGAAAAAAGTCGCAGTAAGAGCAATTGTACGAGAATATGAGCGATAATTCGTTATATTATTTTAAAAAGAATATATTCAAATAATAATGAAAATGTTAATAGTAAAAATGCTTAAAATAGAATAAACGATAGTATAAAAAGGCGAAGAAAATATGAAGAAAAGAAAACTGTGAAATGCATATATAAATAGAAAAATGAGAAGCATATTTAAAAAAAGTAAAGTAAAATGTAACAAGAGATGCGTAAGAGGAGTATACAAAGTAGATAATATTTAAAGAATAAGAAAAAGAGAAAACGGAAATAGTAGGAGGAATGTTTACATACTTCTCACTATTTTTTTATTTTATAATTATTATTATTCTTTTATATATCTTCTTTACAAGACATTAATGTTTTCCCTTCTTTTTTTGTTTTACTTGCCTCGTACTGTACTTTCATTTGTGTATTTATATATCTCACTATTTTTTTTTTTGTTTTTGTATACCTTTTATTGTTCTGTCTTTTACAAGCTAACCTACTATATAACTTTTTATGTGACCTTTGCTATTTTTTGTAGAATTTTTAAATATCTTCTTATTGCTTTTAAGAAAGGTATTTTTGTGTGAAAAACTTTATAAAAAATACAATAAGATAGCTTAGAAAAAAAAAAAATATATATATATATATAGTAGGAGATATGTAACAGAACTATGTGTATTGTAAAAGTATGTAAAAGATGAAACAATAAATGGCAGCCAAAAAATAAAAAAATAAAAAAAGAAGGTTTATAAAAAATAAAAACTCAGAAAATAAGAAACATTTATATGCTCATTATTCTTTCATCTTTTATATATTCTTTCACTCAAAAAGAGCCGAAAGAAGACGGGAAAAAAATTGACACACAGTACA